CAACTATTAGCTGAATGTACTATCAATAAAATCCTGGGTCGCAAGTACTCACCTTAATATTTAAAAAAAAAAAAATTATTAGAATAAAACAAAAGTTTCTATTATGCTAGCATGTAATGCAATTAGAACACAAAAACTAAAACTACTTGTAATTAGATCTTCAATTCAACTTTATTTACTTATATGCATTAATCATAACATTTTGTCAGTTACATACAGAGCCAATTCTCAAGCATGAATGTGATATGATTTTTTTGGTGAATAATTAAAAATGCTAGATTATTAATTTTGTTTTTAAAATAAAAATAGTTTAATTTTAGTTGATAATGCATCTTGTAATTATAATTCAAACAGTATTTTACCGACTTCTAATTCTAATAATAATAGTTATAAAGAAGAAACTGAATTAGCAGAAACATCTGTATTTAGAATTAGTAACATATGATTGTCTACTTTACAAAATAATCAGAGTCAAGCTTGTAATAGTCAAAGTTATCTCTATACAATTGCTGATCCTACTGGCCTCTAGTTAACTAATATTAAGCTTTATTTTCTTCTACCTGACACTATTGCACATCTTCAACCAATAAATGCAAGCATTATCAAGTGTTTTAATCAAAATACAAACAAAAATATATTCAATATCTTCTTACTTAGTTTGAACAAAGTAAGATATACAAAAGTAAGTTGTAAATATTAAGTGCTACAAATTAAAAACCTGGAACAAATATATAAGTATTATATATTCAGTTCTAGGTTTTTAATTTGAAACATTCAATATAAGTATAATGTTGTGTATTAAATTAATATCTAAGTTAGATTAAAATACAGTCACATCTCTCTAAATGCACTCACCTTGGGATCATAGTAAACAAAAAAGCAAAACATGTACTTAGAAAAGGTGTGCACTTAGAGAGATTAAAATTTATAGTTATTATATTATTTGAGACCAAAAGAAAGTGTGCACTTAGAGAGGTTTTTTATATAACATGCACTTAGAAGGTGTGACTGTAATTATAATATTACTAATAATGATTCTACTGCATTACTACTTGCTAATATCTACTCTTACCTTAATATAAGCTCTTACTCTAACCTTAATAAAACTCTACAATATTTAAATTTTGATCTGACATAAATTTTAATAATGCACAATAGAGGCCTGCATTGGGTCCTGCAGCCCAGCTCGGCCTGGCCCGCAAAATTTTACAGCCTAGGCTGAGCCTAAGACAAAATTTTATAATTGCAGGCTGGGCCGAGCCAAAAAATTTGCAAAACTTTATAATTGCAGGCCAGTGCGGATCTAAAAATTTGTAAAATTATATAAGAAATTTTTGTGAACTAGGCCAGACCAGGCCAGGCTAAAGAAAAAATTTAACATATACGGGCCAGGCCGGGCCAGGCTGGCAAAAAAATGGTAACCCTAAATATGGGCCAGACTGGGCCTAAAAAAAATTTTTAACCCTAATTGCAGGTCGGGCCAGGCCTCAAAAATAGGCAATTTGCAGGCCCCTAATGCACAATATTACTAAGATATATTTACTATTTAATTAAATAAAATTTTAGAAAAAAACTTACTATTAGAGATGCAATTTACTATATTGCAAAGTTTTGAAATAAAGTTAATAAAATAACAATAATAAATTGTTGAAAAAAAACTAAAATCTTGCCCTCTATTAATTATGAAAAAATACAACATGCAACAAACTCTTACAATACTTTTATTAAACAAAAAAATATTATTATTAAGTTGTCAGTTGCTGATTTGGACTCATCAGTCCTACTTTAGATTAACAAGTATCTTAAACTTAATAACTTGTATATTCCTACTGTAAAAGAATTAAGTAATACTAAAATTGTCAAGTTAGTAATAGTAGAACAGTAGCATAAAGAATATAATTTATATAATTCAGATAAAGAGCCTTTAACAATTTTAGCTTTAGAAGAATTAGTAGATCTAAAAAAATTTTTAGAGTTTTTTGAACAACAAACAGATCAAAATTTTAAATTAGAAGATTTAAATGTTTTTCAAAAATATTTATCTATAATGAGACATAAAGATGTAGAATCAAAAAAACAAAGTTCTATTATAGATTTTTTTATATTTAAAGAAACAAGTTAAAAAGGTGGTATTAAAAAAATTTAGAACAATTACTTTTTGAATTATTTTTTGGTACATTACTTAATTTCTAATAATTTTTTTTCATTTATAGTATATGTGATTCTTTATATCTATTTTTAATAAGTCCTACTGTAATTGTCTACTTATTCATTTTGCTTAAATAGATCATTTTATTACTATATCTATTTTTTATTCAACTATGCTATTAATTTTTGGTAAATAACTATACATTTACAGCATTTAATTCAATTCATAATTATTTATTAAAATGTACAAGCAATCTTATACTAGTTAGAAATGGTTCATTTATGCAATATATTTTTAGTAAGTTCAGATAATAATTCATATTTCTAACTTAGTTTGTACTGTATATGCTGTATATATTCTTATTTTTTATTCATAAAGTATCAGTTTAGTGTATAAATAGTTTTTCATATCATGCTCAGTAAGTTTATTAACTTACTTATATTATATTATCTAACTCTACTCTTATTTATTTTATTTATTTATTTATTATTTATTTTACTGTACTGTATTTTTTCTTTTTGTATATTGTTCTTCATATCTGCTCATTTTAATAAGTTTGCCTAATTCAAAATTTATTATTTAATTGATTATTGATTTGTTTAAATACCAAGTAACCCTAATTATTTTTAATATTGGTTTAATACTTTAATAGTTTCTCTTACTATTAATTTTTTGGTATTTATACTTATTGTTGGCTCAGACTTTAATAACTGCTAAATAAAATATGCATTTATTAAATAATTTTTGAATATACAAAATGTATTGTATGTGTTACTTATTTTCAGTAAGTTAAAATTTAATTTGCATTCTTATTATTTTAAATGCTTATATAATTCTTTTTACTTACTTATGATTTCACAAGTCATACAATAGCTAATTCAGGTTGCAAGTAGTTTTTTATACTATTTATCTTTGGTAATTTAATTAATTTTTCTTATTTTATAGTATTTATATCTTTATATTTATTCACTTATCATCTCTGTTATTGTAGTAAGTTAATTCAATTTATATTTACTATATGTTCTTATGAAAACAAGATTTTCAATACTGGTGTAAATAGCTTTTTATTTACCTTTTTATTTACTTCACAAATTTAGTTAATTCAGGGTTTAAACAATAATTTTTATCATTTAATTTTGGATAGTTGAGCATAATAGCTTTTTTATATATAATGATTCTTACTTATTTTTTTATTTATTTTGAATGTTGGCTTGTTTAATATCTGTGACTCTTCATATATTTTTATTTAGAAGTAATTTCAGCAAATTTTTATTAAGCTATTTAAATGTGTTCTTATTTATTAATCAATTTAATTTAGTACAGTACTAGGCAAAAATTATTCAAATATTTTTGTTAATATTAGTGGTTTTAAATTTTAAATGAGTTTAATAAATATTTCAATTTGCTGCTGTAATCAAGTTTAATAATTATTCTTACAAATAATAAATGTTTAAAATTGTATGCAATTATATATAATTTAAATTTTTTATAATAAACTGGCAGTTTGGAATTAAAAAAAGTTCACTATATAATTACTATATTTTAGATCATAACATTTTTATATTAGTTATAAATTTAAAATTTTGGATTTATTATTTTTAAAGTTTTTATATTCTGAGTTTACTACAATTAAGTTAAAGTTTGAATTTATTTAAGCTTGAAGTTTGCTAAGATTGATTAAAGTATTGCTTATTGCATTTTTTTTTACATTTGAGCAAAAACCTACTAAGTGAATATTAAAATTTATTACTGTAACAGATTTATTACATCATTTTAATGTAATAAGTCTACTATAGTAATAACTTTAATATTTACTTACAGAGTTTTTTCACTTTTTAGTTGATTAAGAAAAATAATGCTAATTGGATAAATGTCATATAATAGTGCAGATAAACCTTATATACAATCATACCTCTCTATAATTACTATATTTGTATGTACTCATTTGTGTAATTATAGAGGAGAATAACTGTACCAAACTTCTTACTAATTATTTTAATCTAATATTTACTCAATATTCTATTTTATCCTCTTATAACTACATTACCTTATCTGGCATTACTACTTTTATTTCTATATATATACTTAATAATATTATTGAAAATGCTAGCTGTAATAACAAATAACTCTAGCTTTTGTTTTAGGATATAAGCAAAGCATATGATTTTGTAAACTTTGATCTTTTTACCAAGTCTTTTAAATGTATATTAATGTCTAACTTCTTATTAATATACTTATAAATCTTCTTACTGATTACTAAAACAATATTATATTTAACCTTAGACTTACTAATCTTTATTTAGTTAAAAATAGTATAGACTAAAGAGAAACTATAATTCTCTTATTTTGAAGAATCTCTATAACTTCTTAATCAATAGAATAGCATTACAATTTTTAAAATATCCTTTGTTTATATTGTTACAGGGTTGTAGCCTTCTTGGTACGATACAATCAAGTAACAAGGTCATACAGTACAGTGATTGACTGTTGCAAATATATACGGAGTGGAGGTGTAGTAATTCACTTTACTACACAGCAGCAGGCAAATAGTTCAAGATAGTAATAGTATATAGATTAACTTTTATTAAATAAATACACAGTGACAACCTTGCCTGTAGAAATTATTCTAGAGAGGAAATATTACTTTTACAAGTTAGGGTAAAGATAGAAGAGTCTAGGTTAAAGTATAAGAACTTAGAATTGGCAAGAAAGGGTAAAAGCTACTCTTTATATATATTTTTACTTAGTAGGGATAGTGGGGATTTAAGCAACATTACTTGATACTGTACTCAGAGTAATAAGGGTTCAAACAACATTAGATATTATTGTAGTTAGGATAGTGAAAGTTCGGACAACATTAAATAATACTGTGCTTGGAGTAGTGGGAACTGTGTAGAGGCAACTGGTGATATTGTTTATATAATTTGTCATTCATGCTTAAAACACTTGGGGCTTGTTTAGGCACTTGAATCCATGCAAAGGCACTTGGGATTTGTGCAGAAATACTTGTGAATCATGCAAAGACACTTGGGACTCGTGTTGGAGATACTTGGAATTCTTGTACCATGGCACTTGGCACAATAATTTGGTGCTAAGATATATAAAACTTGTACAAAGATACTTGGGGTTTGTGAGGCAATAGTAACATCACAGATGTTACTCAGTGTCATGTGGCTGTACTATATTTCTAATAGCCAATTAAGATTCTTTTATCTATCTATTATATAATATAACTATTAGCTAACTAATAACTAATAATAAATATACTATAAAATACAATAATGAATAAATATATA